ACTGCAACCTCCGCCTCCCAGGTTCAAGCAATTCTCCTGCCTCAGCCTCCCAAGTAGCTGGGATTACAGGCATGCACCACCATGCCTGGCTAATTTTTTGTATTCTTAGTAGAGACGGGATTTAACCATCTGGCCAGACTGGCGTCGAACTCCTGACTTTGTGATCCACCCGCCTTGGCCTCCCAAAGTGCTGGGATTGCCGGTGTGAGCCACCATGCCCAGCCAATCTAATGCTTCTTCTGTAGCTATTGAAATGGTCACACAGTTTTTCTCCCTGAAGAATGTGATGAATTATAGCTGATCAGTATTCAAATATTGAACTAACTTTGCAATTCTAGAATAAATTCAGTTTGGTCATGATGCACACTCTTTGAAATTTGGATTTAGGTTGCTATGATTTTGTTTTGGATTTTTGCCTCTGCATGAATGAGATCAGATTTGATTTTCCTTTCTTGTGTGTTGTGGACAGGTTTGATCTTAAAGTTATATAACTTAAGCTTACAATGTTTGTGAAGTGAGTATTCCATTGCATGGACTTTTTCGTAATTTGTTTAGTCCTGTTTTGCTGGATATTTAGGTTGGTTCCAGTGTTTTGCTATTAGAAACAATGTGGTATTGTAAATCCTTGCATACTTCAGTTACAGACAAATATATATTTATAGGCTAAATATGAAAAAGTGGAATTACTTGGTCTGAGGGTATTTATAAATTTAATTGTCATAAATGTTGCATTATTGAACTTTGAAGGTGTTCCGGGTTGTAGTCTTACCATCAGTGTATGTCTCTTTCCCTGCATATTTCATTGAGGGGGTTAGATAAGCACTTACAGTAAAAGAAGAAAACAAAATGCATTCTATTTCTCTTCTGCTGCACATGTCTTCGGTTTTACAACCAACTTTTTCTTGAAATAGTACCACATTCAGCTTACCTCCCACACATTTGTCAGCTAGTCCAGCATCTTCCCCTGCCAATCTACTGAAACTGCCCTTAGCAAGGCCATTTGCCTCTTACTGGTTATGTCCAGTAGACTTTTCTCCTTAATTTATTTTTTTCCAGTCTTTCTTGACTCCCCAGCAGTATTTGTTGAGTTAGCCATGTCATCATTCTTAAGATACTCTCTTCTGAAATGTTGTGATGCTTTGCTGTCTTTTGGCCTTTTCTTACCTCTGTGACTCTTCAGTCTCATTTTCTACTGTGGTTCCACTCCTTCTGCCCATTCCTTAAATGTTAGAGTTCCTTACATTTCTGTTCTTATTCCTCTGGTCACTCAGTACATTCTGGTGATGTCCCCTAGAGTCATGGCTTCACCTGTAATTACCATCTATATGCCAAAGGCTCCCAACCTTTATACCCTGCGCCTAACTCACTAAGCTGTAGACCTGCATGCACACTGATATATTGACTATTACTTGGGTGTTCCATCCAACAGATCCCTCAATTTCAGCATTTTAAGAACTAAGCTCATCATGTTCTCCTTCAACCCTATTTCTTCTCTGTTTCTTAGTACCACTATTTATCCAAGTCAGAAGTGTGCATGCGTGTGTACGTGTGTGTGTCTGTTTATCCGTGCCTTTTCTTCCTCCTTCTGTAGCCAGCCATTTGTTAGATTCTTTCAGTTTTCTTATTCTAAACCTCTTTCTGTCTTTACTACTATCCCATTTTTTTAGGCCTTAGAAATTAATCAGATTTTAAAGTGAACAGTTAGATTGTTTTTTCTTAACTTTATCTGTATAGTTCTTTTATGAATTTGTCTGTATAATTAAGTTTTGACCAGTACTTCATTATTAGATTGGTACCTCTTTTTTTTTTTTAAGGCAGAGTCTTCTGTCACCCACGCTGGAGTACAGTGGCAGGATCTCGGCTCACTGCAGCCTCCGCTTCCCAGGCTCAAGTGATTCTCAAGCCTCAGCCTTCTCAGTAGCTGGGATTATAGGCACACAACCACCTCACCTGGCTAATTTTTGTATTTTTAGTAGAGACGAGGTTTTGCCATGTTACCAAGGCTGGTCTGAAACTCCTAGCCTCAAGTGATCTGCCCGCCTCTGCCTCCCAAGATGTTGGGATCACAGGCGTGAGCCACTGTGCCTGGCTGGTACCTCATTGTTTAAAGATGGACTTTTATTTTAAAAATAGAAACTGTTTAGACATTCATGATCTAGTAGAGCATGGGCTTTTGAATCTCAGTGAACAGGATTTGACTGACTCTAACCTCAGTCACTTAATATTTGCTTTAACCTTGAGTTACTTACACTTTAAGTTTTATCATCTGACAGTGAATATTATATATACCCTGGGGCAGTGTTGAGGATTAAGTAGATATATTAAGATATATGAAGGTGTTTGGTACATCATAGGAATTCAATAAATTTAGAAATTATGATATAGTGCTATAATATTGACGACATACAGCAATTTTAACTTTAAAATGTTTTTGCATTACAGATAGTGTGTGTACCATATCAGTGGCGTGTAACTATGCTCATCATTGTTCTTGTCAATGCCTTTGTATCTATCACAGTGGAGGTAAGCACTTCCATAGTCAAATGGCTACCATGTTGCTTTGGAATTCTTGGGTGATTTAATGGTAAATGGGAGAAGAGGACAGGTAATATAATGGAAAGCCACAGAGTCTCAGTGTCATCTTAGGCAAATTCATTTAGCATTCTCTTGTGAAACTTCTCCATGAATTCATAGTGATCATATTAAGGGATGTGACTTAGTTGCACTCACACAGATAGGAGAAAATAAGCAATGTGATAATAAAAAGTAATGATGAGTAGAAAGGAGAGAAGTTCGGGGCCTCGGTGGCCCATGAACTAATGAATCAGTGATTGTGAAATCAGAGTTGGCATGTGCCACCTGTGTTTTGTGATGTACAGTAAAATCTCCCATTTAAGGAAGGAAAGAATGGGGCGGGGGGCCATGCTCCAGGAAACACAGTGAATATTAATAGCAAGAGAGTTTAATGAAAGTATAAAATAATTATCGTTATGGACTTACCTAATTTCAGCATTGATTACTAGAACATCCTCCTTGATATTTGCTTTTGAGTGGCCTCTAGAGGTCTTAAGTACCGTTTGATTCATTGTATATTGTGTAGTTACCCTCCTGTTAGAATTGCCTTTAGGTTAGTCTCTAAAAGGAGGTAGCAAGTTCTCATTGGTGGCTTTTGTCTGCTCTCAGAACTGCTGTGGTAATTGACTGTTACAGTCACTATAAGAAATGGAAGAGGGAGATACAGTTGTGATTTTTAAGTTAAGAGTTTCGTAGCACAGGCTTTTGGATTAAAATAAAGGTAATTTTTTTGAGAAATATATATCCATATATTTTAGTGATCATAGTTCTGGACTTAGAAATTACGCTTAATTTCATTACCCCCTAAAAGATGAGTTGGTATTTAAATTTGAGATATGATGGGCAGCATGGATATTATGGTACTGACCTTTGGAAGTTGCGCAGTGCAATGTGATTTTTTTTTTCTATTTTATGGGTGCTAGGAAGCACATGTAAGATATATTCTTAAAATGTTTCTTTTTCTACAGTATAAGTTCATCTTTTCACAGAAATGTTACTTATTCTTACTATCTAAAGAATGGTTTGTGTTGGATGCTGATGAAATTATATATCTATAGATATGGATATAGAATTAATACTAGATATTCAGTGAACATAAGCATTGTGAAGAAAGACTTCAAATTATATAAGCATCATTTTAATATGGGAAAGACCTTTTTATACAGAAGCCATATTTCATGGAAAATTTAGAAGTCTCATTTTATCAAGAATGTTATGATGATTTATATTTGTTACAAAAGTCCTGTCATTCTTGATCCTTTGGCAGTGTTAACTGAAATTCCATATATGAAAATCAAAATATGTTTTTCATCAATTATGCAGCATTGTGTGATTCTTTAAAAAGGTGCACATTAATAAAAAATGACTTAGTCATTGTTAATTCTTAACTCGCTGGACTGTCTCTCAGAACTTCTTCCTTGACATGGTCCTTTGGAAAGTTGTATTCAATCGAGACAAACAAGGAGAGTATCGGTTCAGCACCACACAGCCACCACAGGTTGGAACTCAGCACTTCAATTCTCAGTTCTTCCTGTCTGTCTAGGCTCTTTGCTTGCGTACGCTGTATTTTCTAGCATGTTCTTGTTCTGTTACATGTTATTCTCTGGCGTGTTCTTGTTCTATTATGTGTTACTTCAGCCTTTTTCCCTGTGCTTGGCATTTCATTTCTTATAACAAGTCCTAGAAAATTCATGGCAAACATTTGTTAGAGGCTTTTCAAGATCAGAAATTTCATAAGTCTCCTTTCCATTCCAATCCTGATCTTCTATTTGTGTAAAAGTCTTGTCCTCAGAGGTGAGTTAATTTTTCCATTTCAGTCTACTATAAATTTTATGTTTTTGTTTTTCATGAATCCCCTTAGAAGCTAAATGAGATTTATATAAACAAAATTTGCAGTGAAAATTGTTTCTTCTTGGATCAGAGTCCAAAGGCCAGAATTTTGAAGAATTATTCCTGATTTCTTGTCAGTTACTGTCCCTTAATTTGGAGTGCCTTTTTGGCTTTCTCCAGCATTATATACCATTTCATTCAGAAGATGATTTGCCTTTTTTCATACAAACCATGTTTTAGGACATTTGACTTTTTGGTCTGTTAAATAGCCTATCATTTGAAAGGTATCGCAAGTTCTGTGGTAAAGAGAGAAGAGACACAGAAGAATAAAACGCATTTCCTAGTGTTAGGATTTTAAAGTAAAGCTCTTGATACAGATACAGATTGGACTTACTTTTTAAACCCATGCTGTGAGTCAGAACTCTTTCAGGTAGCTTTTTGGTCATAGAGAATTTGATAAAATCTCACCCCTTCATTGCCTTACCCATTTTTCTTTAGAGATGGGTGATATGCTTTACAGATAAGAGCTCTGAGTCTTTTACTCAGCCTTGAGCCACAGGAAGCTGGTGGTGTTGAAGAGGACTCCTTGGCATTTTTGAGTTGGGTTACGCACTTCGTTTTAGCCAACTTTTACCTAAGTGGTAACTTCCTGAGCTTTATTTTGGTAATCCAGCAGGCCTGATGTCCTGGTGTAATGCCACAGGATTGCTTTCAAAGAGGGCCTGCAGAGCACTGATTCCGTTTTATAATGCTTTATGGTGGATAATGATGGAATGCAGCAGCATCTAGAGTCAGCCTCAATTTTTTTTTTTCCCCTGAAAGCAGTGTAATACCAGTTGTCCCTAGTAGTGGGTATGACTAGGGTTGTACAAGGGGCTCAAGTCCTTTAGCAAAATCTTGTCTGTGTATACACACACACACACACCCCCCCCAACAACCCAACCCTCCCACCCCCGTATGTATAGTTACCTCACTGCATTACTTCAGAAGGTTATTTTTGGCTTATATCATCAATTCTCATGTGAAATATTTGTATTGTATTCCTAGGCCTAGGAAAACATTTAGATTTTTATATTCTCCAAAGAGATCTCTGACTATTGATCTGAACAAGAAATTGCATGTTTTGGAGGGGAGTAATACCCTGGTTTAGTTGAAAGTATGTATCATAAGACCCCTTAAAAATATTTGGATTGGGAGTCTCTCCTTGCTTTTCAACCAAAATTAAATGACAGAAAATTCTTTTATTTGTCTCTGTTTTCTAAAAAAATTATTAATAAATATCTGCCCTTCTCTTTTTGTGAGACCTGGGTCTCACTCTGTCACCCAGGCTGCAGTGCAGTGGCGTGATCATGGCTCACTGTAGCCTCGAGCTCCTCAGGCTCAGATTATCCTCCCATCTCAGCCTCCCGAGTAGCTGGCATTACAGGTGCAAGCCACTGTGCCCGGCAATTTTTGTTGGTTTGTTTTGTAGAGGTAGGGTTTCACCATGTTGCTGGGTAGATGGAGCTACAGGTGCATGCCATCCCAGGCCCAGCAATTTTTTTTTTTTTTTTTTTTTCCCAGAGAGGAGGTTTTGCCATGTTGCCCAGGCTGGTCTCAAACTCCTGGGCTCAAGCCATCTGCCTGCCTCGGCCTCCCAAAGTGCTGGGATTACAGGCGTGAGCCACCACACTCGGCCCGCCCTTCTAATTTTTAGGAGTTTGTGTTTCTACCTCTGAAGTGTTCATGGGAGAGTGAAGGTAGAGAGTGGTCCAGAGCAGGTGGGCCCCAGCATACCCTATGTGTCAGCTGATTCTGAAAATCATCAAATAGACGAGAATTGAAGTCTTCCGTTTCTATGGTCATGATTAAGGTGCATTTTTAAAAAACTTACTGGCTTTAGGAAAGAAAGTTCTTATAACCTCCCAGCACAAAGTGGCATGCTTTCACTCTCTGCTGCTTCTGTGTGTAGTGTTGCTTCACTGTTGATGTTTGTGGCCCTTCGAGAGCCAGTCATTAGTTCATCATATTACCATAAGGCCGAGGTTCTCAGTCAGAGATGATTTCCCCCAGGGGACATTTGCCAGTGTCTGGAGACACTTTTGGTTGTCACAGTTGGCAGCCCCAGGTGTTCATACTTATTCTCTGACCAAAAAAAAAAAAAAAAAAATTTATACCGGTGATTTTCAAGCAAGATTATTCATCAGAAATGGTTTGAACTCCACCCTTGCCCTACTGGATGGAAATCTTCAGTGGAGACCCCCGTCATCTGTGGTTTTCTATAAAGCTTTACCCTGTTTGAGGAGATCTGTGTCACATCTTCTCTTTAGGAGCATTTGTGCCCACCTTGTGTCTGTAAACTGAGGGTACTTAGTAGTGGAACTAGATCCTACTACCTGTGATCTGATCGTGCCTGGGGATTTGTGCCCAATTCATGTTTTCTTATTTGGTGAAAAATCCAAAAAAGTAGTTTTTATGGTGTAGTGGTAGTCTTTATGCCACTTAGAATATTATTTGAGCTACATAGCTAGAATGTTTATTCTGATTTTCTGTTTTGTTTTATATTCAGAATTGGTATGGAAGAAGACTTATGAAAACCACAGCACCGTTGTAACATTTTTTCCTTCAGGCTTGGCATTCTGTTTTATATACTACCCAGGAAAACATTTACTGAAAGACATTGCTAAGCGTAAACTTGACATTTTTGAAAGTTCTTTTTAGTTTCTCTGCTAAACTATGCATGATAGCCTCTTTCCTTCTCTGAGGGGATAAATTTCGTCACTTAAGCATTCCTTTCAGAAACAAGCCGAAAGATCCAGTTGCTACGGCTACTGTGTCCTGCTTTAGGGACTTGTGCTGTAGGTGTTTTGGAGAGACCCACGTGCTCACTCTGTGCCCGATGCCCTGTTTCATGGCCTTTGTGTTACACAGTGCTTGCCTTTCTCCCTGCACCATCATCATCTCCCCGCTGGCTGATTTCTCATTCCAGCATGCCTGTAGCACCTTTTATTTTCTCTTCTACTGAATTATATTGTGTTTGCGAATGTGTGTGGTATGTTTGTGTTTGTAAACTAACAAACCTATGCTTGCATATAGTGTACTTTCTGTGTATGATACTTGGGGAAGGTAAGGGTACAGGAACAAAATGTTTTCAATTATGGTACAGTAGGGGGATCCTTAGTGTTCCTCATGACTTTTTAAAAATTGTGACAAGTGTACATTGTTTGTAATAGGGTTGTGAGGATTTTTTTTTCAATGCATAAAAAGAGTCCTATTCGGTTGTTCTATTTGCAATTAAATTAATTTTAATTTTATTGGTTGACTTACTTTCCACAAGTAGGGAGCAATGAATTGAAATATGTGTGTTTGGCTTTCCTTAACTCAGCTTGCTACACATTACCCTTCAACCTGGCAGATTCTTTGGACGGACAAGTCCTATTATGTTTCTGCTTTTTTAAAAAAAATCAACAGTCAACATTAGCTTATTTTCTCTGATAATCTAACAGTGCTACTTAAAAGTGACAGCTTTTGGCTGAGCACGGTGGCCCATACTTGTAATCCCAGCACTTTGGGAGGCTGAGGCAGGCAGATCACAAGGTCGGGAGATCGAGACCATCTTGGCCAACATGGTGAAACCCTGTCTCTACTAAAATACAAAAAATTAGCTGGACGCCATGGCGCGTGCCTGTAATCCCAGCTACTTGGAAGGCTGAGGCAGGAGAATCACTTGAACTCGGGAGGCAGTGGTTGCAGTGAGCCTAGATCGCGCCACTGCACTCCAACCTGGTGACAGAGCAAGACTCCATCTGAAAAAAAAAAAAAAAAAGTGACAGCTTTCGAATTGATTTAGGAACAATGATTTTTTCCACAATTAGATTGACAAATGACACCTTGGGAAAAAGTAAGATCTAAGTAGTAAATTATCATCTCAGATGAAATATTATGTTTGTTGTGTGCCTGTACTGGAGAGGCATTATCTGTTATTTTGGATCACCTGAAGAATCCTATAAACAGTGACTTCTGTACCTTAATGCTAAATATTTTCCTGTGGACTTTTTTTAAAGGTGATACTAATATAACTCTCTTTAGTTATGACAGTGAAAAGGCTACTAGGCGAGTAATCTTCAGACTTCCCCCGCCCCCACCCCAGATGTGGCTTGCTTTTGTCCACCGTTTTTGCCTTTAAATTCTTGGTAGCAGTGTAGCTTATTGTGTTTTGTTGACAAACTTAAGCTAGCAGACCTTTAACATTGAGAGCGGTGAGTTACTGTTTACCATGCTCTCAGCGGGTCGGGGAGAAGAGGGGAAGAGTAGTAGGTTCCTGATGGTGGTTTCAATTGGATGAGAAAGAGCTATCAAGTGACCTATGTAAAAACTTTAAGAGCTTTAATTTTAAAGTATTTTTGCTCTTCTCCATTGGCTAATTTAGAAACATGTTTCAAAATACATCTCTAGCTAACTTGCCTTTTTAAATCATGAGGCATTTTAGATAACATTAGAATATGCATCTCAGTTATGTTATACTCTACTTTGTGAGATTACTTCATTTAGAGCTAGTTGTAGCCTGGGTTATATGTTGATTGGCAAAACAAAATGACCTGGAATTTACATTTCATTTTGGAGAAGCAGCAGCCAAAATAATTAAGAAGTGGCTGTTCTTTAGAGATAAATACAACTACTTCATTGAGTCCCGGTATAGTCATTGATATTTATTTCAAATTTCAATTGAGACAAATTCTGAGGGCCCTTTTCAGCCCTCTGTTGAGTTTACATTTCTGTGCATTAACCAGGGACTCTGCTTTCTTGTTCTCCAAGGATCGTTTATCTAAGGCCACATTCACTAAAAACATCAGGATTGATCAGAAGGATTTCAGTGACAGCAGAGCTTTTTGCAATGAAATAATACGAAGCAATAGTACTTGTTTTATACAAACCCTTCCCAGTCGTGGAGCACCAACAGAAACCATCGTTATAAAACAGTATTCTTTTTATATTAGTAAGGATGAGGTTTTAAAAGACGTAATTGACATTAAACATGATTGAAGCCCTAATTTTGACCAAAGGATATTTACTTCATGTTTTGAGAGATGACATTAACAGTAACGAGGCTACTTGTACACAGCTTTCTTCCAAAACGATCACGCGGCTAAGTTGCCAGGAGCAATAGTATGGAAAGACAGTTTGGGACAGAATGTGAAGATTTTCAAATTAAAAATTAAAAATGTTTTCTCTTTCTGAATGGCTTAAAGTTCTTCTTAATACACTAGATATTCTGTTAAAGAATCCATATCTGCAAGTTATTTAAAATGTATTAGTATACAAGAGTATAGGTATATAAAACTAAATGAAGTAAATCATATTGATAACCCCCGAAAAAAATCTAAAGAATAATCAGTTCCTAAATAATTGAAAGCTACCTTTAAAAAATAAAACAAAAGAACACGCATTTCGTTGTGTTGCCCAGGTTGGTCTTGAGCTCCTGGGCCCAAGCAGTCCTCCCACCTCAGCCTCCCAAAATGCTGGGATTTCGGGCATGAGCCACCACACCCGGCCAAAGCTGCCTTTTTTTAACATGAATTTTTTCCCCCATTTGTTGTGCTCAGAAGTCATCTCCTCTTATTTTCCTCTGCTAAAACAACAAGCCTTTAATCAACTGGGGTGGTTTTTTTCCCTCTTATTTCCTCAGGAGTCAGTGGATCGGTGGGGAAAATGCTGCTTACCCTGGGCCCTAAGCTGTGGAAAGAAGATACCAAAGGCAAAGTACATGTATCTGGCGCAGGAGCTCTTGGTTGATCCAGAATGGCCACCAAAACCTCAGACAACCACAGAAGCTAAAGGTTTAGTTAAGGAGAATGGATCATGTCAAATCATCACCATAACATAGCAGTGAATCAGTCTCAGTGGTATCGCTGATAACAGTATTCAGGAATACATGATATTAGGAGTTTCTGATCCTGTGTGTCAGAATGGCGCTATTTCAGTTTATGTCCCTTCTGATATAGTAGCTTATTTGAGAGCTTTGCTCTTTCTTAAACATGAAAACAGAAAAAGATATCGTCCTAATAGTTCAATTAACAGTCAATCCATAAAGTCCTGTATCTTCATTCAGTAACCAAAATATTACATACATTTCCAGAATTTTCTTGGTTGTTACTCTCAGTGATATTCTTTATATTGGGTACAGGAGAAGTTTGGTAGGTTTTTCAACAATAGTTTTTGAGACCAGTTTACCTCTTCACATTTATGCTCACAACCCCCTTATTAGAAAAGTCTGTATTTATATACAGGCTCTAAATTTGTGATTGATTAAAAGAAAGTGAGTGTTAATTAGCCTCCAGTGAAAATATATTGAAAGCCTATTTTCATTTGATTCCAATATTTCTTCCAAAGAATTCTATATAAACATATGCCAATTCCCTAAGATGGTTTAGAGTTAGGAATGAGTTTTTATGGTGTTTCTTATAGAACAACTCAGGTAATTTCCATTTCTGGTTTTATATTTTCTGTACAAACTGCCTGGGTTTTATTTTTCTAATCAGCAAGGTGCTTCACTGCCTTCTTGAGACGCCTCTCAAAGCTATTAAATGGCTCCTGTGCTATGTGTGGTGTCAGTAGTCTAATTTGCTTCTGTTAAATGTTGTAGAACCTTTTTCACTAGGAAATAAGATTCATTTCTTTTGGCAGTAGATGAAGATTCATCTTTTACTGTTTCTTCAAATGTGTTTCTGTCAGGCTTTGTGTTATTTTAAATGGTTTTTAAAATTTTCTTCTGTGTTTTCAATTACCTAAAGACATAGGATAATAGTTTTTTTAAGTTAGAATTTTACCTCATAAAATTTTTTTGAGGTTTGATGTGTGTCTCTGTCTTACCAATAATGAGGCTTAAAAAATATTGGATTTGAATGGCTGCCATTTTTTCAAAGCAATATGAATTTGATGAGTTTGTTTTATGCCATTAGGTGGCGCCAGAGGTCAGAGCATGTCTGTTTTGATTTGGATTGTTACAAATAAGCATATTTGATGTGGAAATTTCTGGGAGACAAAAAAATTGAGGAAATAAAGTTAAAAAATTGACATTCATTGAGCCAAAAGAAATGTGGAGAAGCATTTTTCACCTTTCTGTTTGGCCTGATTAACATTTAAATTCTTGCCAAAATTAAGGTAACTTTAAAAAAATGCCTTTTGTAGGTAGGATCCAGCAGTTTGGCAATGCCCACAGTTATCGCCACACAGAAAACTGATAGTGCTGTGAAATGGACACTAAACTATTAAACCAGCGTGCCATTGCTCTCTGTTCTTCCATAGCCAGTAACATGCTTGCTCGTGCTTTCTACTTCTAGCGATCATTCTTTTCCCAGTATATATTTACAAATTTACCAAATTTTACCTAGAATTTTAGGACCAAATGGTTCTCACTCTTTATGCTGCAAAGACCTGGATGATGTTTGGTAACTATAGAAAAATAGAAGTTACACTCAGGATCACTGTTACTGCTATTGCCACTGATGATTCCTGCAAAAATATAATCGAAGTTTTCCATCAAATGTATAATATGCTATTAATACATATTAGATGATGACAATTGTTCCATGAATGATTCTATGAAGCTATGCATCTTAGACCTCTTGAGCTGTGAATTAGCACTATTTTCTATAGTTACTTATTCTCTGGATCATTTTATAATTTCCATATTAATTTCAAATATGCTCGTGTTATTCTTCAGTGATTTCCACAATTGTGCATTTTATTCTTTGGTTTAAGTACTGAAGCATATAATGAAAGTAATTGCTAAGTAGCAGCTTAAAAATTCAATTATCAGATTGTATTTAACATCTTTAAGAGCATGATCATAAAGAGCTATTTTCGACACCCCCCTCCCCACTTTTTTAACATTTAGAGTTAATAAGGGTTTTATATTTCATCTGTCCATATTGTTTTCAAAGGAATGAGGTGTTTAGGTAGGTGGAAAAGCATTTGTAGGAAGCTAGATTTGAATATAGAGAAGGTGGGTTATTCACGTTGAGAATGTTATTTGAAGAACGCCTGTGAAGCCAGGTGTGGGTTCTACTCAGTGCCATAGATAGACTGAGTCTTCTCTTGTAGGTCACCATTACATAGTAATTTTGATTCTGAATTTCACATTAAATTATTTGAGTTTATACAGACCTAAATTTTAAAATCTGTACATATATTATTTTGATGTATTAAGATGAATAAATATTGCTGATTTAAATTTTATTTATGCACATACTTAAAGGACAGAAATGTCTGGGAAAGTAATTGTTAAATAATGATATGTAACTTTTTAACTTTTTAAATAAATAACAAGATTTTTAATGTGTGTCTCCCTCAGGGTTGTTTAAAGTTTTTTTTCTCCCTCAAGTTTAAATAGTGGTAACTATATGTTTTGTATCTTCTAGCACCAACTGCTGTAAAGCAATGCTGCAAATAATGCTTGAATAAAAGTGGCTAAGCCAACAACAAAATAAATACTTTTTATAGTAGTTTTGTAATCCTTAAATTCGAAAGCTTTCCAAATTGCACTTGCATCTAAACAAAACTGTTGCAGTTTTTACTCTATTTATTTTGTTCCCCATGTTTGTGAAAGTCCTGCACAGTTTCAAAGGCATGGTAAATAATATATCAATGTTTATGTAGTCTGTTACAAAAACAGCTATAGATAACATTATCCAGTGAAAAGCAAAATTCAAGCTTTAGAAAATACTCATGCATGCAATTTTGACATATCTAAAAATAGATTTTTATATATTTATGGTGGGAGGTGGTTGGGAACTTTCAACAAAATGGGGTGTTAATTTTTGTACAGTCTGTGGGCATTTACACATTTTTAATGTATTAAAATTTGGTAATTATGTGTACATTAAATTAATAAAATAGCTACTTCTGGTTATGATTTGTGAATTCCCTAAGACCTTGGATTTTTTTAAGTAACTTTATATCAGAAATGATACTGCATCTTTATATTTTTAAAACTGTATTGCTGCTCAAGAATGGTACCCTCTTGTCAAAAAGGCACACATTCATAATTGTACATTCAGCATTGTACATTCACAATTTACATTCATAATTTACATTCACAATTGTACATTCAGCATTGTAAATAATCTGATGAAACCTTTTTTGATCGAAGCTATTCAAAATAAAAATTTTAATGATGAAATAACACTTTTTTTCTGTGTCTTTATACATTTGTTTGCTTTTTAGTCACATGAATACTGCCCTTTGCGGATTTATTTTCATGCCTATTAGTACTTCCCCATTTCCTTTTTTTTTTTTTTTTTAAAGGAAATAACATTCCGCATATCATACCGTGTGTGTGACCATCCTGGGGAAACCGCTCAGTCAGATGTAGTGTAGAGCCAAATGTTAAACGCGAGGAGGTCTGAGGGAAATGGTGAAATAGAAGAGTAGGGACTTAAAATCTATTAATAGTTGGGAGAATCAAACCAGAAGCTAATTCCATGGAGAGAGAAAATGGTTGTAGAAATCCCAGAGAAGACAGGACCTTTGTTTGTGGCTGGGAGTTGTTTCCATGGAGCTCAGCTTCGGGAGACATGGCGCCTCTGCTAGGGAAATGTGGCTGGCTGTGGTGTGATGAATTCGGGGGGTGAGGGCCTGCCTGCTGTTACCTCAAGTTCTTAGCAGTCGCTATGGTTTGTGCAGCATGTATGATCTTGTCCCCACAGCCTGTTGGTGTGGGCATAGTTCTGCATGTCTCTCCTTCCCCCGTATTGCTGCCAATGGCTCTGTTTTGAATGTATATTGCAGGAAGGGACAGGGAGTCCGAGGGGCTTGAGTGAGACTGTCTGTGGTCCAGGCTGGGGTGCGGTTGCTCCCTGTTGTGCCCTGCCCCCTGAGTCTCCCTTAGAGGAAAGCGCTTATCTCACCCAGGCAGACCTGCTTTTGAGTAGCCAAGCCCCTTAAGCCAGGTCACTGTTTGACAGCAGACTTCTGACCTGATATGGACACAGAATCTTGAGACCGGAAGCTCTGGAGCTGTCAACTTCATTGCTCCAAATACTTCTCATTACCTCGTCAGCTTGCTCAGTGGATGGACTAAGACCGTTCCCCTCACTCTCTGCAACTTCCATACCTACTTCTCCCTTCTTGGACAATCAGAGTGTCTTCCTAAGGAACAAAACGTAGAGGCCATTCTGACTGGAGGTTTTCCTGGGGAAATAGGCTAAAGAAGGGCCACAAGAATTTGAGCCTGTGGCATCTTACTCTGTTTCACAGCTCGCCTTCCCAGTCTGTCATGTTGGCTCCCTGGCATTTTCATGGGCAAGGGCAGTGGGGGGGAGCTTTCACTTGATGTGCCTATGCATGACAGACTTACCAGGTCACCAGTGTAGCAGCTCTGGGCTCTGGAGTTGCATTCCTTGATCAGAACTGAAAGACCTCCTGCAATACTTGGCAGAGGCAGTGGCCTTTCCCTGCGGTCCAGGACTGCATGACTTTGAAGGTAATTTCCGTCAACCCAGCATGTACTGGGCTCTGACTGTATTTGGCTACATCAGAGGGTGATTGGATCCCACGATGCAGACATTCCTTATGTATTCTGATATTAAGACTTTCTCAGTTATAGGTGTTACAAATATCTTTAGTTCATGGTTTATCTTTTCCCCTTTTTTATGGTGTCTTGAAGGATAGAAGTCTTAATGCAGACAGCGTTATCAGAGAGCTCAAAAGACACATAGACACGTTTTGCCTATAGACAAATGGGCAAAAGGAAACCCAGCCTTCTCAAATGAAGCGCAAGTGGGCCTTAATTATGTGCAAAGGTGCTCAAGTTCATCATTAAACAGGGAAAGGAAAAGTTAAACCATGCTGCGATATCTTTCTTAGAAATGGCAAAAATTAGGAAGGACCAAGTGTGGGCAGAGAGGAAGCACAGGAATTCTCATAAATGGTAGGTGGCATTGTAGACCAATACAACCACTTTGGAGAGCAGTCTGACATTCCCAAGTTAAACTGAACATGTGAGCAGCTGGGCGCGGTGGTTCACACCTGTAATCCCAGCACTTCGGGAGGCCGAGGCGGGAGGATCACCTGAGCTCAGGAGTTTTAAGAGCAGCCTGGGCAACATGGTGAAACCCCGTCTGTACTAAAATACAAAAAATTAGCCGGGCATGGTGGTGTCTGCCTGTAATCCCAGCTACTTGGGAGGCTGAGGCAGGAGAATTGCTTGAACCCGGGAGCCAGAGGTTGCAGTGAGCCGAGATCGCAACACTGCACCCCAGCCTGGGCGACAGAGCCCCCTTCCCCGCCAAAAAAGGAACAGGTGAGCACCCTGCCACCTATTGAACATGTTCAAAGATGTTCTCAGCCTTAGTCCCAAAAGGAAAAAAAAAATGGAGCATTTGAGAATGTTCTTAGCTTTATTGTTAAGTGAGGAAAGAAAAACAACACATATTAAAAAAAAAAAAAAAAACCTGGGTGGAAAATTAGGGCCATGTGGCATGAAAAGGAAGACCCAAGGGAATTGTGGCCCATCTAGGGGTGTGGCTACTGCAGTGATCCAGCTGTATCACTACACTTCCCTGGCATCACAGTTATAGTGTGCCATTTATTGCAAAACTCTCCCCGCTGCTCTTGGCTTTGACAGTAGGAATCGCGTTATATATGGTCTCTCAGTTTGAAGATATTTGTCATTAAAAACCAGAACATGGGCTCTGAGATAGGGTCCTTTCCTGACCTATTCTGGTAAAGTCTTTATCCTCAGGATGCAAGGATACCACCCCCTTCCTTTGGAAAGTGTCGAATCACATGTAAAGCGCTAAGTCTTTCAGTTGCTTTGGAGTGCGGAACCATTTCAGGTAAGGCCAAATATTTTAAACATTAGTATAGGAAATTAGAGGGTTCCATTAGTCTGTGTGTGCATGAGAAGTAAAATTGCACAAGAAGCAATTTATGGAAAAGTTCACTTGGGAAACATTGTTTCGGCAGATTAGTAGTATGGTGTGCATTTCACAGAAAATTCAGTGCCATGAGTATTACCTTTAAGCATCTTAGATATAGCAGCTGTTTATACTTATGGCTAAGTCAGAAATACTGCCCCCGAATTCTATATGACCCTAGTTATACTATTGAACCTTTCTGTGCCTTGTGCCTTCATCCTTGAATCAGGGATAATTTACTTACCTCCTAAGGTTGTTGTAAGGATTAAATGCATATAGTATAAATAAAGCGCTGAGAACAATGCATGGCGTAAAGTGATAGGCATTATTATAGGCTTTTGTTGGCTGTTGATTGAAGGTGTTCGCTGTTTTGGGGGTGTCCTTTGTTTTAATAGAGTAACTTGATACTGTGGAAATAGCAAGATTGTGAGCAAAAGAATCAGATGGTGGTGGCTGCAGACTTTGCTGTTCCCTTCTTGACTGTTGGTTTTAGCCAATGCAGGGTAAGTTACAAAGTCAAGAGCAGAGCCGTTTTCACAATGGACACTGCTTTGTGATGTCTGTGAGCTTGCATGTGGGAATGACTATTTTAATTAATTCTCTATGTAAGGATTTTAAAGCATTGGCTATTCGGTAGCTTGAAAACCCTTTAATCTCAATGCTTTAAACAGAGTAGATCAATAAAGCGAAAGAATGAGACCACACAGTGTGTAGAATGAATGTCTTTTCACCTACGTAGGGAAATCTGTAGTCCTAAGAAAAGAGGGAGTGAGAATTCTGGTGAAAGGATTGTGCCTCTGCACAAAGTGCAGGATCCCGGGGTTCAGAACAGTCGCGAACGCTCCCGTGTGTTGACCACATTCCCACTGTTGCTTTTTCAGACATGCTGAGGAGGACTCTGCTGTGCGCGGTGCTCGGGCTTCTGCGCGCCCAGCCCTTCCCCTGTCCGCCGGCCTGCAAGTGTGTCTTCCGGGACGCCGCGCAGTGCTCGGGGGGCGACGTGGCGCGCATCGCCGCGCTGGGTCTGCCCACCAACCTCACGCACATCCTGCTCTTCGGAATGGGCCGCGGCGTCTTGCAGAACCACAGCTTCAGTGGCATGACCGTCCTGCAGCGCCTCATGCTCTCCGACAGCCACATTTCCGCCGTTGCCCCCGGCGCCTTCAATGACCTGGTAAAACTGAAAACCCTCAGGCTGTCGCGCAACAGAATCACTCATCTTCCAGGTGCGCTGCTGGATAAGACGGGGCTCCTGGAGCAGCTGTTTTTGGACCACAATGCGCTAAGGAGCATTGACCAAAACATGTTTCAGAAACTGGTTAACCTGCAGGAGCTCGCTCTGAACCAGAATCAGCTCGATTTCCTTCCTGCCGGTCTCTTCACGAATCTGGGGAACCTGAAGTTGTTGGATTTATCGGGAAACAACCTGACCCACCTGCCCAAGGGATTGCTTGGAGCACAGGCTAAGCTCCAGAGGCTTCTGCTCCACTCGAACCGGCTTGTGTCTCTGGATTCGGGGCTGTTGAACAGCCTGGGCGCCCTGACGGAACTGCAGCTCCACCGCAATCACATCCGTTCCATCACACCCGGGGCCTTCGACCGGCTCCCAAACCTGAGTTCTTTGACTCTTTCGAGAAATCACCTCGCGTTTCTCCCCTCTGCGCTCTTTCTTCATTCGCACAGTTTGACTCTGTTGACTCTGTTCGAGAACCCGCTGGCAGAGCTCCCGGGGGTGCTCTTCGGGGAGATGGGGGGCCTGCAGGAGCTGTGGCTGAACCGCACCCAGCTGCGCACCCTGCCCGCTGCCGCCTTCCGAAACCTGAGCCGCCTGCGGTCCTTAGGGGTGACCCTGAGCCCGCGGCTGAGCGCGCTCCCGCAGGGCGCCTTCCAGGGCCTGGGCGAGCTCCGGGTGCTCTCCCTGCACTCCAACGGCCTGACCGCCCTCCCCGACGGCTTGCTGCGGGGCCTCGGCAGGCTGCGCCAGGTGTCCCTGCGCCGCAACAGGCTGCGCGCCCTGCCCCGCGCGCTCTTCCGCAATCTCAGCAGCCTGGAGAGCGTCCAGCTCGACCACAACCAGCTGGAGACCCTGCCTGGCGACGCGTTTGGGGCTCTGCCCCGGCTGAAGGAGGTCCTGTTGGGGCACAACCCCTGGCGCTGCGACTGTGGCCTGGGGCCCTTCCTGGGGTGGCTGCGGCAGCACCCGGGCCTCGCGGGCCTGGAAGAGCCCCCGCGGTGCGCAGGCCCTGGGAAGCTCGCCGGCCTGCCG